CTAGGTTCTGCCAGATGGCATTCTGCTATGGACAGACCTGGAGCGTGCCTCTCCCGCCAGATATAATGGGACGGGGGGACACCGCTAGGGGGAAGACGGTCCCTCAGGTAACCCGGCCCCAAGCTGTGAAGGGCTTTAAAGGCGACCGCCAGCACCTTGAATTATACCTGGAAGCAGCCAATGCAGCTCGCAAAACAGGTGTCATGTGTGCCGAATGACCACCGTCCATAACTGCCCACGCCACTGCATTTTGCACCAGCTCAGGTTCCCAAATACTCTTCAAGGGCAGCCCTATGTTAAGTGCGTTGCTGTAGTCCAAATGGGAGATGGCTAAGGCACGAGTGATCGTGAGCAGGGCCCCCTGGTCCAGGAATGGGCACAACTGGCACACAACACAAATGCCAGGCACAGCCCAAGAACAATGACGAAACAGTCCAGCTGAGTTCAGTTCCTTTATTTGCTTACACCCTACAGACAGAATCTTGCCCAACTCAATCTATACTGCAGCAACTGGTGGATCTGCCCTGAGATTCCAGGGAGGGGCTGTCCCGAGCCTCTTCCTCTTCCCAACGCCCCCCCCGCGGACCGTGCTGCCTCTTGCCTCCTCCCCCTCCTGGAATGCGCCCCTCCCTCCGGATAGCCTTGACCTCCCACATCACTCTCCTCCTGTAGAGACATTCCCTCACAACAAAGCTGTGAAGAGGCCCTCCTGGCTACGGCTGCCACCTGCTCTTCCAGCAGGAGCTGCGAGTCCAGGAGGACCCCCAGATTGCACACAGGATCTGTCTGGGGCAGCGTAAGGCCATCCAGCAGCAAAGATGGCATAGTCCTAGAACCAGCAGGCCCCCAAAGCCAGAGCCACTCAGTCTTGCCAGGGTTCAGCTGAAGCCTCTTCCCCATCCAGATTCTCACAGCCTTCAGGTGCCTGCTTAATTCACCATGGGCAGAGACGTACAATTGGGTATCATCAGCACACTGATGATACCTCACCCCATGGCGATGGATGCGCTCACTCAGCGGCCTTGTGTAGATGTTAAATAGGAGAGGGGAGAGCACCGAACCCTGTGGTACCCCACATAGTAGGGGCCAAGGGTGGGATCTCTCCTCCCCAACCACCACCGACTAGAATTGGACCCGGAGGAAGGAGGTGAACCAGCACAACACTGTGCCGCCTATCCCCAATCCTCTGAGCCGATCCAAAAGGATACCATGGCTGATGGTATCGAAAGCTGCAAAGAGGTCAAGCAGGACAATGAGGGATGCAGAACCCCCCCCCCGGCCACTGCCAGAGATCCCCCAAAAGTGCGGCCGATGCCGT